GCTGGGAGAATTGCACCGTTCGCCATTGTTCGGACGCAGCAGTGATGGCTAGAAACGCCACGGGATTTTACGCAGTGATCTTGTCAAGATCGCTTTCGCACTGAACTAGCAGGACAGGTGATGTGTCAGTTCGACGAGCGTAAATAGATCCGTTTTTGAACCACGCGTATTTCCACCCACATTCACGCCTGCGCGAAGTCGTCATTCCCTAGAGTTTCTTGAGATGTGGGCAGAGGTGCTCATTAATGTAAATTGGTGGGTCTTCCGGAGATTCTTCTGATGATGTCAGACCAAGATGATTATTTGCTAATCGTTGATTATTGTCTCCGTCAGATGGCGCAATCGGTGGCGATAAAACAAACTGGCGACGAGATCAACAAGAAACAAGCATCTTACGTGCTTCGTCAGCATCCTCCGCAACTTTCAACGCAAATTACCACCATTTAGGGCGCATTAAAGGGCAGCACCGCCTTACTTGCACGCTGCACGAAATGCGTTAGGCCCACTGAGGCCACCCGTGCACGTTGGCTATGCTTGCTGGCAATAGTGACTCGCCAATACATACTGGCGACGGTGACTTCTCAGTATATCGATCGTTCGAGCACGGCTTCTGCGATCGCTCCTCCACCGTTCTTGCAAACTCCGGGCACTCCTGCCGTGCTTTGCGGTAAATGCCGCCATGGCTTTCAGGCGTACGCCGACGTCGCCTCTGGAGACAACGCCCGGCCCGCTCTCAAGAAGAGTCGACTACTCCACGCACACGGAGTTGAGAGCCTTGATGTCTACTGGGAAACTACAAAATGCATAGGACCAGATGGAAAGCTGTCACACACGTCCCGTTAATTAGGGAGGCGATCGCCGGGCTAATTCCAAGAGCCGAAGTATCGCCCCCCCCCCCCCGAACCGCACCACGAAAGCGTGGACAATTTAGAAGTGGTCCTTTTTGGCGCGCCAGCGGACGCCGGCTGTGGCCCAAAGAACAAGTCAGAGGCCGAGAGTTGATAACAAAACAAATATATTCTCAAAAATGGCAGATCGAAAACAATACACAAGAATGCACATTCCACAATAGTTGCATACAATACGTCACCAATCAAACAACGTACTACACAGTACAATTAGCCTCACTCAAAACAACGGACACAGACAACAATACGCACTACAAATGCAGTCGCATGCATTGAACAACCAAGACACTTAAAGACTAAAGAGATAGAAAACCTATCCAGTCCAAAGTTCTTGGCACAAAAGTCTGGATGATACTCTTCCGAGAATCACTCACTCAAGTCCAGCGTTGTTGTCGTTCCGCGCCCTTGAAGTTTCTCTTCCAGGAAACCTCGCCGAAGTTCTCTTCCAGGAAACCTCCCGTCTTCAATAGGCCACTCTCCAAGCTTCAAACTTCTTCGCCCGAACCCGTCGGCTTCACACACGCAGCTGTGGCCACGCGTCTTCCTCGCTCGATAGCGTAGAAACACGCTCGTCCTGCTTCGTCCCTACGGACAAACCTTCGCCGGACTACACGGCGGATCCCTTCGCACTCTGGCGCAACTTCCGTTATCTCCTGATCTCTCATCTCGGCTGCTCGGTTAATACCTTGCGCGCGACATTCCAGACGGTTCTCGTCATTTCGTCGGCGCGATACGCAGCGCTAACGGCTGGGAAAGGGCGAGACGGTGGAATGCCCTCCGCGGCCGATGACTCAACTCGGTATGACACGGCCCCTTTCGTGCTAGAACTTTCTCGCGGGCTATCTCGGCCGCCGATGTGGGGTGAGGAGGTTCGTCGGCGAAGCCACGCGTCCGAGGGGAAAGCGCGCGCCCCGGGGAGCCTTTAGATGTTTGTTTTCTTTTTCTTTTGACCTCGCGGCGCCACTCCGGCGTTTCGTCGCGACAATTTGGCGGCGCGCTCACGCCCATTTTCAGCGCTCGTTCTGTGACAAAAGCGAAGACGGGACTCTGGACGAAGGCACGCAAGATGAATACATCGCAGCACTCAATCTACTAGAAAACAATTTCAAGGCTCAATTTCAAGGTCCCAGAGCATGACCACAAAATGCGCAAGCAAATACTGGGGGAATCAGTTACTGACTACGTTTCTGCTTTACGGGCAATGGCGAGCAAATGCAACTTCGGCGCGTCCACCAATTTGCTGTAGGCCCGTGTGCTTAGAGTTAGGTGCACGTTAAAGAACCCCAGGTGGTCGACATTTCTGGAGCCCTCCACTACGGTGTCGCTCATAATTATATGGTGGTTTTGGGACGTTAAAGCACACATATTAAGTAATTATTTTACTCTACAGCATGTAATTCAAATTACAAAAGAAGAGGAGCGTACCGAACTCGAAATGCAAGAATTCGCGAACGCAGAGGTTGAGAAGATCCTATTACATCCAGGTCCACAAGATGGCCACCAAAACCAAAGTATGTGTGACGGCCTCCCCGATAGAACTCGATAGGAAGTCAACATGACTACGGGCATCATAACTCCCGTCCTACATCAATATTGTTCAAAACAACTGCCGTGTGATTGCATACTGTGGCACTAGTTCTGTGTGTTTCATCTACGTTCTCTTGTACAAGCACGCAAAAGTTTACATCTCCTTTCCTGTTTAGGGGGAGATGATGTGGTGTCAGAAATTTTATGTCCTAAATTCAAAAATACTAATCTCGGAGTCATGGACCTCCAATTAGTTTTGGTTTCGCGAGATGTATCGCATAGCGCCAAACTATGTTGTGTAACCATTGCTACGCGCTGACGCCCTCTCTCTGAATAAAGAGTCCCCTCCCCGTTCTCCGCCTAGCGTGACGCTCATTACAGCGCTCCGGCGTTAACCCGCCCATTGTCTCCGTTTGATGGTGCATCCGGCGTTGATACAGCATAGTTACCATCAGATATAGCCGATTCTACGGGTCGCACTCATCACCCATCTGTTCGACGTATACGGTGGCCCTCTGGATGTTGCACACCACAATGGCGACGTTCTTGAACACCCTGGTGCGGCCCACCTGTTTCGCCAGGATCCCCGCGCGTTACACCCCGGAGACCATGGAGGCGGTGGCAAGACGGGGAGCACGCAGCTGCTGATCTGGCTCGTCGTTTGGCTCATCTGAACCGCACGTGCAACGGGCCTCATACCTACGCACTCATTGATTGCTTTCAGCACTACTATCAGACTCTCTCTGTTAAGTCTCAAAGTAAAAACGTGATCTCTGAACACTCTTAGGGGTCCAAAAAGCTCTGTTGGAGTCCACATATGCCTAAGATTGTCTTCATGTCTTGTATTTGAGCCAACGCTCAGGTACGCTGGACACGACCTGTCTTACAGGCCACTTGCGCACCCACTTGCTGTAACTCGCCTCGAAGGCCTTCCTTAGCTAGAATAAAAACCAGGTGTTCGAGCTTGGGGTTGGAACACTAAGAAAAATGTTCTTCGATAAGAAAAAAATCAGTATCTGGAAGTGGCACAACGAAAATCTGTTGTGCCAGTCATCAAATTGGCCGGCCATCTGTCGTGTCACCCATCATTCTGAGAAAAAAATTTGTATTTGTTAACTTTTAACAGGAAAAAGGGATCGCCACAACAGCTAATTTTGGCGTCGTAGTTGTCTGAGGTCGCCACCATCGCCACCGGTGTCCTTTCCCGCTATCGCCTGAAATAAGAAAATGAAAGTCAGGGAAATATTTCTATAGGTTTGCATGGGATTTGAGCTCGGCACCCTTGCCTGGCAGTCGAGTATTCTACAGAAGGGTGACACCGGTGCTTGAAACTCTTTTGCAAAAATATTATATTGACGATGCAGCTGCAAACGTCCTCCGCTATGCACTTATTGCAGATATTTCAAGAGTAGCACACTCTCTTCTCATTTCATTTTCTTGAAATAGTGTTAATTCCATGAGTATTTTTCAGCATTATGTTCATAGTAGAGTACGTAAACGAAGGTAGCACGAAGGTAACCAAAACACGCAGATTAGCTTCACAAAAAAAGCCTGCCGGCTTTTTAAGCTTGCCTTTATTGTACATAGCATGGTCACTGCTCACAATGGTGTTCATGCTGTCTGAGACGCATCTGGAAGCTAAGTTGCGTGTTTTGGTTGCTGACAAAGAAGGCTTCTTTTTAACTATAGAAGTTCTATGTATAATGATAAGGTAGCCACTGGTTGGAAAAAGCGGAATAAATCATTTTTTGAGCAACTGCAGCCAATCAATTTATGTGAACGGACACGCATTGAAGGAATGGCTATTTGGGCTAGTTGGTTTAAATTCATGGTAGTAAGGGCTGCAGCGCGAGCACGAATGTGCTAGAAGAAACAGATGAAAAGCGAGGCACGTGTTGTGTTTTTCTTTCCGTGCCTCGCTTTTCGTCTGTTTCTTCTAGCACATTCGTGCTCCCGCTGCAGCCCTTATTACCGTGAATGGACACGCATCTTCACTTTCACATGTAAAGTCTGGTGTTCCCCAGGGATCAATCCTGGGACCAGTTTTGTTCTCATTTACATCAACGACATTGGACATGGTTTGTCTTCTACTATCAGATTATTCACATACAACTACATCATTTATAGAAAAATTCACAGCACCCAAGCTAACGAGTCATTATAGTTGGACCCTAATAAACTCGCATTTTGGTGTCACCAGTGGCAAATTCAAATTAACACTTCCAAAA